TAATTTTTTGTATTTTTAGTAGAGATGGGGTTTCACCATGTTAGCCAGGATGGTCTCAATTTCCTGACTTCGTGATCTGCCCACCTCGGCCTCCTAAAGTGCTGGGATTACAGGCGTGAGCCACCACGCCCGGCCCTGCATATATATATATTTTATCAAGGCAGGCTTCCACCTGGTTTCCCGGGCTGGTCTCAAACTCCTGAGCTCAGGCAATCCACTCATCTCAGCCTCCCAAAGTGCTGGAATTACAGGTGTGAGCTACTGTGCCCAGCAAGATGCTCAATAAATGTTTTTTGAATGAATAAGTACATTTATATTACACACTCCTCTCCATCTCTATCTCCCAAGCATGAGCCTCTATCATCTCTTATCTGAACCTCAGCAATCACTTTTTGGTTTGTCTTCCAGTTTATAATCAAGTTTCTGTCAATCAGTTTCCCACCCAAAAGCCAGAGTGGTCTAATAAAATAGCCTATCTGGCTGGGCACGGTGGCTCACGCCTGTAATCCTAGCACTTTGGGAGGCTGAGGTGGGCGGATCACGAGGTCAGGAGATCGAGACCATCCTGACTAACGCAGTGAAACCCCATCTCTACTAAAAATACAAACAATTAGCCAAGTGTGGTGGCGGGTGCCTGTAGTCCCAGCTATCGGGAGGCTGAGACAGAAGAATGGCATGAATCCAGGAGGCGGAGCTTGCAGTGAGTCGAGATCACACCACTGCACTCCAGCCTGGGAGACAGAGTGAGACTCCGTCTCCAAAAAAAAAAAAAAAAAAATTCACCGGAGGTGGTGGTGTGCGACTGAAGTCCCAGCTACTTGGGAGGCTGAGACAGGAGAATTGCTGGAACCCAGGAGGCAGAGGTTATAGTGAGCAGAGATCATACAACTGCACTCTAGCCTGGGCCACAGAGCAAGACTCCATCTCAAAAAAAAAACAAACCCAAAAGCTGCCTATCTGATCATGCCACCCTTCCACCCCCTGTTGAACAGCCTTCAGTGGCTTCCCATGGCCCTTGGAATAAAATCCAAGCTCCTGAGACAGCCTTACAAGGCCTTGCATGGTCTGGCTCACCTCATGCCAAGCTCCACCTCCTCAACTGACATTTCTTAATTCAACAAATACTGAGCGCCTGTTCCACCAGGCACTGGGGTGAGCAAAAACAGACTCCTTCAGCTCTGCTTAGTCCTCTAGATACTTGAACATACCTCCTTCCCATTCACAGCCTGTGCATGTCGTTTCTCTTGTTCTGGAATCCAGTCCTTTCCCTCTCCTTCTTTCTCTACCTTCCTGACTTTGCCCGGTCAACACCTACTCACCCATCCATCAGATCTGATTACATACCATTCATTCAGGGATATCTTATCCGAACTGAAGCTAGCTTAGGTCCCCCTGTATACACTCTTAACTGCTCCTTATATTTGACTTCACAGCACTCACCACACGTTCTATTTTTACACTTGTTCCTGTGGTGATTTGGTGACTTGATTTATACCCACCTTCCCCACCAGGAAGCACCAGGAGCTTCTGTGTCTGGTTTTTGCTTACCATGGTTTCCCTCCGGTGCTCAGCTGGTGCTCCACAGGCAATTTACTGATTGACTAAATGAATGAGTAAACGATTCCCCCACAAGAGCATTCAGAGTTCTGCCCTTCAGGGAAATGTTGGCACCTCTGCCTCACTGTGCATAGGAGCTGATGGGTGATGGCTGAGGAGGGGAGGCCTGGAGGGGCGTACATAGGAGCTCTCACCAAGGAGAAAGCTGAATGAGTGTATTAGTCCCTTCCTGCCCCTTCTTGTCCCTAGAGCGCTGTGACTTAGCCCTGCCCACCTCTCCAACCCCACCTAGCTCCTGTCCCCTTGAAGCTTCAGCAAGAGGAGCTCCTGCTCTTTGTCCCTAGAATTCCCAGCCTCCTGCATACTGACCCCTCCACCTGCAACTTGCCTCCTGTTTCCTTTCACAAGGCTGGCTCCTCCCTATCCTTCTTCAGGTCCAGTTTAAATGCTTTTTTTTTTTTTTCTTTTTGAGATGGAGTCTCACACTGTCACCTGGGCTAGAGTGCAGTAGCGAGATCTCGACTCACTGCAACCTCCGCCTCCCAGGTTCAAGCGATTCTCCTGCCTCAGCCTATTGAGTAGCTGGGACTACAGGTGCGCGCCACCACACCCAGCTAATTTTTTGTATTTTTAGTAGAGATGAGGTTTCACCATGTTGGCCAGACTGGTCTTGAACTCTTGACCTCACAATCCATCCGCCTCAGCCTCCCAAAGTGCTGGGATTACAGGCATGAGCCACTGTCAAAGTGCTGGGATTACAGGCATGAGCCACCATGCCTGGCCTAAATGCTGCCTTTCTTTTTTTTTTCTTTTTGAGACAGAGTCTCGCTCTGTCGCCCAGGTTGGAGTGCAGTGGCCAGATCTGGGCTCACTGCAAGCTCCGCCTCCCGGGTTTATGCCATTCTCCTGCCTCAGCCTCCCGAGTAGCTGGGACTACAGGCGCCCGCCACCACGCCTGGCTAATTTTTTAGTATTTTTAGTAGAGACGGGGTTTCACCATGTCAGCCAAAATGGTCTCGATCTCCTGACCTCATGATCCACCCGCCTCAGCCTCCCAAAGTGCTGGGATTACAGGCGTGAGCCACCGCGTCCGGCGAGTGCAGTGTTTTTTATACCTAATCTCAGACGTGACACACCGTCACTTCTGCCGTGTTCTATTGGCCACTCAACCCATCTGTGATACAACATAGGAAGGAACTACACAAGGGTGTGAGTACTAGGAGGTAGGGGACATCATCAAGAGGTCATCACCGAGGCTGATGACCACATTGTCAAAAATGAGAATGCCGGTGGCTCACACCTGTAATCCCAGTGCTTTGGGAGGGCAAGGCAAGCAGATCATGAGGTCAGAAGATAGAAACCATCCTGGTTAACACGGTGAAACCACATCTCTACTAAAAATACAAAAATTAGCCAGGTGTGGTGGCGGGCGCCTGTAGTCCCAGCTACTCAGGAGGCTGAGGCAGGAGAATCGCTTGAACCCAGGAGGCAAAGCTTGCAGTGAGCTGCGATCGCGCCACTGCACTCCAGCCTGGGCGACAGAGACTCCGTCTCAAAAAAAAATAAATGAGGACGCCTTTCCTGAAGCCCCCAGGAGGCTTCCCTTCATGTCTACTGGCTGAAACTGTCACATGTCCATGCCTACACCAGTCAATGATGAGGGATTTGGGACCATTGTTTTTGGTCTCAATCACAATCATGATTCACCCCGCGGCTAAGATCCACCTCTGCTGAAGCACAGGGCGCCATCTAAGAGAAAGATGGCTACCTGAATAGAGATTCTGTTTGGAATGAGGAAGGGGCAATGGGAAAAGTTGTTGAGTGGGCAGCCCACAGTGTCCACGACACTCACCCACTAGACTATAAACTGCACAAGGAGTAGTGTATGTAACAGAGGTTACATCTTTTCTGACTATTGCATCCCCAGTGCATAGCCCACTGCCTGATACAGAGTAGATGCAACAGTATTTGTTGAATGAATAAATGAATGAATTCATGAGTAAACTGGAAGACCATAGGGCAGGGGTTCAGGACTAGTATCACTAGCCCGAGGCTTCTTCAGTTCTTAGAACTCAGGAGGCCACCTGCTCCCACCTCCACCACCAGCTCCAAGAACAGGCAGGATTGGCAGAATTATTCTCACTTTATTTCTGGAGACATTTAATCAGATGCAGTAACACTGATTCCAGGCAAGGGCAGGGGGCATGGGTACCCCTGAAGCAACCAGTATCCTGTGGCCCAAGGTGTCCCCCATCCCCAGACCTGGGATCCCCCTCAGTTATAGTTAAATAGAGAGAGGAAGATCTCCCCAGGGGGCTTTGCGGGGAGGGTCTGCCTCCTGCACCCACCCTCTCCACGCAGAGGAGTCTGAGCACAAGCTATTTACAGTATTCACATCCACTGTACCCCACCAAACCAAGGCAAATACTACAGGTGGCCCCTCCCCAAGGGAAGAGGCCAGAGAGGCTGTGAGTGTATGTGTGTGTATGGGGGAGAGGGGATGTCTGCGCGTGCGAGCACACAAATGCACTGAGGGGCCGATCTGGCTCCAGCCAAAGAGACATCAGTCTATAAGGTGCAGATTAAAAACAACAGAGAGGACCCACCCCCAGGGGCCCAGGCCACTTCCATCTTTGCTCTGTCTTTTTCTCCTCCAGACATCCTGGTAGGTGATGCAGAGGAGCCCTCACAGCTGTGCCCGGATCCAAGGCAAACCCTCTTAAAGGACTTCTGGGGAAAAAGGGGAAAGGAAACAGTCACGGCAAACAGCACTCAAACCCAGATAGCTGGGGGTCTTCAAGGCGGAGCAGGAGAGGGGGCAGGGCTAGAGAGTACAGGGAAGGCTGCTGGGAGGAATAGAGCTAGGTCCAGGAATCAGGAGACCTACCTGTGACCTGCGGAGACTGCACCACAGCTTTCTTGAGGAAGGCTTCTGCCTCTGCAAAGGGCAGGAGTGCCTCTGGTGTTCGGCTCAGACTCTTGTCCCCAGAGGGTCCCTTGGGGGAGAAGCCATTCTCCTGGTGTGCTGGGAGAGGCTGCAGGCCATTCACCAGGGACCCTGGCAACTCCTTGCTTGGGAGACTGTGGATGCAGAGGCCAAGGCTCAGCAGCTCACCTCCCGGGAAAGCCCAGGCCACCCCGCAGCTCCAGCTGCAGTCTGCCTCCCTGCTCAGGGACCCTGGGATTGGAAGCTGGTACCTCCACTGAGGCTCCTGTGGGGTGGGCTCCTCTTTCTGCACAGCCTCCTTCTGCAGCCCTGGGGGCCGAGCCTCCACAGCTTTCACAGGTTCTGTCACAGGGAAAGAGGCGCCGTCAGCCAAGGGCTGGCAAGAGAGATGAGGATGGAGGAGGAGGGTGGCAAAGGGAAGGGAGGTGAGGGGAACGGGGGCTTTACCTGGGCTGGGACCGTTGGCGTTGGCCTCCTTGCTGTCCTGCTTCTGCTTTGAAGAGGAAGAGCAGTCAGGCTCAAGGGACAGCTGGTCCCATCCACTTAGGACTGAGTTCTGCCCTCCCCTTGCCCGGGCCGCAGCGGCCTCCCCGACAGCCCCGCTCTCCTTGGCCATGGATGCCTTTCCGCAGCCTCCTTTTCCCACCCCTGCCCCCACGCCCAGCACTGCCCCTCGGGGAAATTCTGACCTTGGTTTCAGAAACTTCTGACTTCCGAGTCCTCTTCATGATCTCCTCCAGACGCTGTTTGGAGGCCGCATATCAGTTAGTCTCGAGCTCTGCCCCTAATCCTAAACCTCCCACCAGCCAGCCCCGGCCTTGTGGTCTTAGGGCCTCCCAGTTCATAGCAGCCCTCTCCAGGACAGGAGCTGGAATCTGCCCCAGCGCTTTCCCGTCCCACCCGCTCTAAGCCCAGGCCCCGCCCACCTGGCCGCCCTGCCCAGGCCCGCCCACAAATCCCCGCCCACGTCCCCACACCTTTCTGCGCTCTTGCCGCTCCTGCTCCTGCTGCTGGAAGTGCTTTTCCCGCTCCAGACGCTGCCGCTCCGCCTCTTCCCGCGACCGAGCTTCGGCCTCCTCTTTCTGCCAAAGACCCCCATGAGCGTGGGGCACCTGACTCCAACCTTCCCGGCCCGCGGCGCCCGCGCCCAGCCGCCTCCCGCCCACCCGCCGGGGGCACCTGCTTCTGCAGCCGCTCCTGCTCCTCCTGCTCGGCCTGCGCCTTCTCTCGTGCCTCCTGCTCCTCCCGTCTCCGGGCCTCCGCCTCCCGCTCCGCCCGGGCCTCGGCCTCCCGTGCCAGCTGCTCCTCTCGCATTCGCCTGGGGGACGGAGCAAACGGCTCAGGCTCGGACTCTGCTTCTTCTCCAGCGCCCACGAGGGCCCCCTCAGTCCCCGAGGCGCACTCACTTGTCTCTTTCTGCCTGCAGCCTCCGCTCCTGCTCCTCGCGCTCCCGCTGCTCCCGGGCCTGGCGCCGCTTCTCAGCCAGGAGCCGAGTGGCTTCTTCTCGGTCTGTGGTGCCGGCCATTGGTTTGCTAGGGGTCACCGGGGGAGCAGGGGCTGGGGGTGAGGTCAAGACAGCAGCGTCTGGAGGGGGATCCGGGACCAGGCGTCAGTCAGCACACCCACGCAGGCACCGCCAGCATCCCTTCCTGCCGTCAGCTCCCAGCGGCCTGTGTTGTGGGCCTGGGACTGCTGAGGGCAGGAGTCTCCTCCTTCCATGTCCCACGCCCAGTCCTTAAGCATCTCTGGCGGCCCACATCCCCACGCAGGAGAAGCTGGCTTCTCTCGCTAGGCTCACCCCTCCCCTCTCTTCATGCCTACCTGCAGGGGTCTCCGCGGGGGGCTGCTCCTTCTGGGGCGGGGATGGGGTGGGCGAGGGCGCCGGAGAAGGTGCCGGTGAGGCTGGGGCTGCTGGCTCCTTCTCGTCACTGGCCCTGAACTTGCTCTGGCTCTTGTCCTCGGGCCCTGCGGCGCTGGGGCTCTCCTTTGCCTCCTCCTTCCTCCGAACCCGCCCTTTGGGGGATGCAGTGGTGCCTCGCGGGGACGGTGGCTTTGGAGGCAGAGTGTGGCCTGGCCCTGGGCTGGGGCAGGGGGAGGCAGGCCTGTGCCAGGATGTGGAGGGAGAGGATGGCCGGGCCTTGGATTTGGGGCTAAGAGAAAAGGGAAAAGGGAAGAGTTAGGAGACACACACACCCACATGCTGAGAACTTGTCCCTTCCTCTGGGAGGTGCCCCCTTCTCCAGCCTACATCAGCACCGCTCCCCCTTGCTCTCACAGAAACGCACCATTCCCTTTTAGATTATATACCCCAGTTTGTAATGACATATGTTTCTGTGGGATTGACTATTGTCTGTGCCCCACCAATAGCCTGTAAGTTTAATAAGAGAAAAAAACCACGCCTGGGTTAGCTCAGCAACGTGTCCTCAGCACCATGAGTGCTACCTGGAAGGTCCATTCATTCAGCAGGTTTTGTTGTTTTTAAGACAGAATCTGGCTGTCCCCCAGGCTGGAGTGCAGTGGCATGATCATACCTAGCTCACTGCAGCCTCGACCTCCTGGGCTCAAACAATCCTCCCCTTGGCCTCCCAAAGTGCTGGGATTACAGGCGTGAGGCACTACTCTTGCCTTCAGTAGGCATTCACGGAGTGGTTACCAGGTGCCACACACTGTTTTAGATGATGCGGTACTTCAGTAACCAAAATACTTAAAAAAAAGAAAAAGAAAAAGAAAAAGGAAAAAAAGAAAACAATTAAAAAAAATGGAGGCTGGGCGAGGTGGCTCACACTCACACGTGTAATCCCAGCACTTTGGGAGGCCGAGACAGGTGGATCACCTGAGCTCAGGAGTTCGAGATAAGCCTGCACAACATAGTGAAACCTCCCTCTACCAAAAAACACAAAAAATTAGCCGGGTGTGGTGGCGCGCCTGTAGTCCCAGCCACTTGGAAGGCTGAGGTGGGAGGATAGCTTGAGCCCGGGAGGTCGAGGCTGCAGTGAGCCGAGACTGTGCCGCTGCACTCCAGCCTGGGTGACAGAGGGAGACCCTGTCTCAAACAAACAAAAAAACAGAGAGAAATTTGCCCTCAAGGAAATTGCATTCTAGAGGTGGGATGCCCAATAAATATTTGTGAGTGATGAATAAATGACCCGGTGAGGGGCAGGGTCCCTCGCACCGCCCGCGCCCACCTGAGCTCTGAGGCGGCGCTGGCGGAGAGGCGGGTGCGCGGTGAGGCGGGCAGCGACTGGCGCTTCTTGAGGCTGCGCTCCCGGGCTAGGGCACTCTTCTCCTTCTCGTTTTCCCGCTCCTTGTCCTTCTTCTCCTTTTTCTGCACCTGGCAGGGAAGAAGGAACGGAAGAGGAGAGTAGAGGTCAGCAGCGCCCGCGTTCCCCAGTTCCAGGCTGCCTGTCCCACCTGCGCGGCCGCTCGAACCAGTCGAGCCACTCACCGGCGAGGCCTCCGGCCGGCGGCGCACCGGAGCGGGGCTGCCCCCGGCGCTGGGCTTGCGGCGCTCCCCGCGCTCACCGGCGGGGGCGCAGCGGTGCACGCTTCGGGGGGCGCTGCACGGCGTCAGAGGGCTGGCGGAGGCCGAGCGCGGGCACACCGGCACGGCTGCAGAGGGATGAGTGCGGTCGGGTTGCGGCCCGCGTGCCAGGCTGGCCCCTGCCCGGCCCCACGTAGGGCCTCTCCCAGGGTCGCAGCCCCTACCCTGGTCCCGGCCGTTGCGGGGCAGTGTGACCGCGCTGCGACTCCGAGCAAGGAAGGAGAGGGTGGGCGTCATCAGACGATCCACGATGCTGCTCTCCCATGCGCTCAGCTGCAGGCTGCGATCTGGGGGTAGAAGGCCAGGCGAAGCCGGTCACTGTGGGGGCCGCAGGAGGCAGGGAGAGGCATGGGGGCAGACCAGGCACCATCCCCATGCCAAGGCCAAGGCTGCTCACCCGGGAGGCCTCTCCCCACAATCACACCGGGGCCACACTTGTCCTCCCTACGATCTGGACTTCCACTGCAGACCCAGGCAACCAGACACTTCCCAGGGCAACATCCTGCATCAGATGAGGGTCCCTGCCTACAACGGTCCCCAGGTGAAAGGGCCCTGAACCGCGCATATAGGAAGGAGCCATCCAGGATTGGAAGAAGACCCAATTGCCCTCTGCCATGTCCCAGTGTAAGGTCTTGCCCCTCCTGCTCTCAGAGGGCTGACCCAGCTGAAGCTGTCCCATGGATTTGGGACAGTGAGGGTCGTTGTGCTCCTGTGACCCAGCTTTTAGCAGTCCTGTGCCAAGGAGAGGCTGCTAGGGTGCCTGCCTGCCCTAGGCCACCCTGCTCTGTCCCCTCAGCTGCTGGGCTATTTTTAAGCCTCAGTCAGGTGGGGTTGGTACAGCAGCTGATTTGGTTGCTAGGCAACAAAGCAACCAAACAAATGCAAGAGAAACTTATAAATAACTCCCACCATGGCTCCTTCACATATGAGCACCAGGGCATGGTGGGAATGCAGGGGCTATGCCACCTTGGTTGGCTCAACTCTGGAACCAGCCAAGCCCATGGCTGGGGCTCTGAAGGCAGAGAGGGCAGGATTGCATGGGCCCTTTAGGGTAGAGCCAGAATGAGGGACCCCTCCACCCCACAGCACCCAGGCCAGTCTGACACATGGGGACAATGCCACCTGGCTAAGGTTGGCCAGGCCAGCTGGCTGTGGTTGCAGAAAAGGCTGCCTGCCTGTCCCCACCCCCAGCCACCACCTCCAACTTGCTCTTGAGGCCCCTGCCAGACTTCCTGCCCTCTGAGGCATTGTGCTTTGTCTCCCTTCTCCTCTCCTACAGGGCAACCTCTGTCCTCAGGGTCCAGACCCATATGCCGGCTCCCCCGAGGGGCACAGAGCCCTGGGTAAGGTAGAGTGGGGATGGGGACCTGGAGTATGTGAGGGCTCCAGGGACCTGGTGTTCTTGCTGAGCTCTGGAGGAAACTTGGTGGGAGCTACAAGGGGCTCTGGAGGGGGAAGGGCTGGGCCTTCTCTTACTTCTACTGGGGGAGTTCCAGAGCGTGGCAGAGGACTTTGAGAGCCGCTTGTTGATTATAGAGTCCACGTGTTTGGGCAGGTTAACTGCCGACACGGAGCACCTGCTCCCACCTGGAGGGGAAAAGACACGGCATTAGGGCCGGGCCAGGCAGGAGCCAGTGGGGGGCACCGAGGCCTTCCATGCAGGATGCTCCGAGGGCAGGGTGGGAGAGGGAGGAGTGGGCAGGCTAGGATGAGGAGCAGGAGGCAGCCTTGGCCCTGGGAGAGGGAGGGTGGCAGGTAGGTGACCAGAGGCAACCTGGCTTGGGGGAGCCGACGGAGAAGAAACAAAGGGGGGAGATGAGTAAAACTAGAGAAACTACAGCTTTCCTGGCCAGACCAAGGAAGCCATTCCTTATGGCTGGGTACTGCAACCTCCCCATAACCCCCCAGCACTGGCACTTGCTGACACTGCCCAGCCAACACGTTACGGATACAACACCCATGTACTGGGATAAATGCAAAAACGCTCCTAAACAGGACCTACACAGTCACAGTCACTTGCACAAATCCACGTATTCATCCAGAATCACAAAAAGACATGCAGATACAGGCATATAGAGTGGCAGATACTTTGGCATGCACACATGTGTGCAGACATGCACAGGGACAGAGACACAAACACTAACAGATAGTGTGTCAGACCCAGATGCACACAAGCCACAAACACATCGAAGCAACCTCATCATGACATTTGTAGCAGCTCACATTTGTTGATGCTTACCATGTGCCAGGTACTGTGTGGGGCACCACACACATGTGACCTCATTTGATCCTTCAAACATCTATCTACCACCTCAGGGGCAAGTAGTAGCATTATCCCCAGTTTATAGATGAAGAAAGTGAGACTTCAAGAAGTTAAAGGTCGCGCTGCAAGTGCCAGAGCTGGAACCCAAGTCTGTCTTGACTTAGGAGCCCTCACTGAGGTACACAAGGCCACAAACACGCCAAGGCAAACACATATTAAGACACACAATGCACGGTTCCTGGAGCACATACACCGAAGATACACAGCTAGAAATACTGAAACTTGCCATTGCATAAAGACATCCAAGCACAGTGGTACATACATGCCAGCAAAGAATCAGACCAAAATCCATGGTGACCCTACGCGGAGAAAACTCAGAGACAAAAATCTACCTTCTGAGACAAGGAGTGACAGTTTCTTTAAGATCCAGTGTCTGTAGGGCATTAAAGTCTTTTATGTATCAACAACTAATAATAATTGACAGGCGCAAAGAAGGCTAATCCTAAAATGACAGAGGTTTGAAGAGCAAACCAAATGGAGAGAATCCATCTCTGATTTGATAGTGGAAGTCCTTGGAAAGGGACAGTTTGGCTTACGGACCATTCTAGAAGACACAAGTCACCTAAAGCAAGGCACACCTGCTGCAGGGAGCCACCAGCTCTTTGTAGGGAAGTTGTTCCCTTCCTTTACTTGCCATCCCAGCCTTGCCCACCCACTCCCCAGCCCCTCCAGCCTACTCACTGGTCTTATGTCCTGGAGAGCTGTGGTGCAGGGCCCCTGCCCAGGACCAGCGCTGCTGCCGGATTTCAGCCCACGTCTTCTTCACTGACCGTTGGATGGCTGCTTCATAGCGCTCCTGGGGGAAGGTGGGGAGAAGAGAGATGTGGACTGAAAACATTCATTGAATTTGGGATAGAGGCCCTTCTTCCTCCTGTGTCAATGCCTCCCCCACTCCCTTCCCTCCGAGTCTTTTCCTGACTCATTGCAGGTATCCAAGGTTACTAAATCCTTGCTATGATTAAGGACCAAGATCCCTTTTGACTTGTTCTTGGGGAGCTTTTCACTGTTCTTGAGTCATTTCCTGAGTGTATGAGTTGCTTCTCTGATGATTTGGTGGGACTCTCCCTACCTGGGGCTCCCAGGCAAGGCCGTATCTCAGGCACTGAGGGTCCTGACCTTGGGGCTATGTGTTCCCTCTAGCCTGAAGCCCCCCAGGTAGGGCCAGGTGGCCATTTCCTTCATTTCCTCACCAGCACTCAAGCTAGGGCTTTACCCACATGACAGAGCTAGGCACGCTCACACAGACGCATACCTGCAGATACATACACAGACACATACCTGCAGACACACACACAGACGCATGGGGCACACGGACGAACACAGGTACTGACAGTAAACAGTTACAGGGGCCTACAGTGGCACATTCAGAAGCAAATGTGCCTGCAGTTGCACAGATCCCCAGATATTCTAACACAGGGACACAACTGTAGATGTGAACACAAATAGGACCATGTAGACACAGATAATGCAGAGCCGTGAACATGGATATGCATACACACTGCACCAGTATGCAGACAGTGAGCACACGTGTACACGGATTCATGGAGACCCATGCCGCACCTTGTTTTTCTCGAGCTTCTGCCGCTGCCGTTCCTCCAGGGCTGCACGACGTTGCTCAGCTTTAAGACGTTGCTCCTCCAGCCGGCGCCGGCGCTCCTGGAGCTGCTTCTCCCGCAGCGCCTTGGCCTTCTCCTCCTTCTCCAGCCACACTGCCTTCTTGGCCGCTGTGGACAAAGGAGCCCAGTGGCATGTGAAGGGTTCTGCAGCAGGCCTGGGCCAAGGACATTTCCTCCAAGTGGCCAGCCCTGCTACCCACATCCTGGGTGGGTTTTTCTCCTGCCGGCTTAGGTGGAGCTTTCAGTCTGAGACAACCCCCTCAAACTGAGAGGCTTACTGAAGACAGGACTCAGGAGAGGCCTATTTCTCCCCCATTGGCCTTATGGGCTCTCAGGATTGAAGGAGAAATGAATGCTTTAGTGCAAGATCCCCATCTGACTTGGGGGGCTACCAGACAGAGGTCCACATACTGTGATTAAGAGCATGCATGAGATCTGGGGTGACAGGAGGCTTCTGGGTCTGAATCTCAGCTACTGTACTAGCTGTGTGGCTTAAGCAAATGATTTCATCTCTCTGAGCCTCTGTTTCCTCCTCAAAATGGGTTGAGGATTAAATTAGATACTGTGTGTCCTGCTCTTAGCACAGTGCACATAATTAAGTGTTGCAGAAGTGTTGGTGTTATTATTATTATTATTTTTTTGAGACGGAGTTTCGCTCTTGTTGCCCAGGCTGGAGTGCATTGGCGCAATCTCGGCTCACCACAACCTCCACCTCCCAGGTTCAAGTGATTCTTCTATCTCAGCCTGCTGAGTAGCTGGGATTACAGGGATGTGCCACCATGCCCGGCTAATTTTTTGTATTTTTAGTAGAGACGGGGTTTCTTCACGCTTGGTCAGGCTGGTCTCAGACTCCCGACCTCAGGTGATTCGCCCGCCTCGGCCTCCCAAAGTGCTGGGATTACAGGCGTGAGCCGCTGCGCCCAGCCTGTTGGTGTTATTATTAGGATGCTGATCATGATGATGAAGAAGATGATGAGACTTCCTGCTCACTCACCCAGGTACTTGGCCCGCTCTTCTCGCCGCTCCTTTGCCAGCTTGTGTCTCTCTCCTGCCTTCTTCACCTCTGAGCAGAGGGAACAAGAACAGACAGGTCAAAAGGCTGTCCCCAAAGAGGAGTCAGCCTCAGATCCCTCCCTCCGGGCCTCACCCCATCCTTTCCTCATCTCCTCTAGGGCAAACAGGACTCTTTCAGTTGGCATGATCCAGGGCCAGGACCCTAAGCCAAGGGGTTTAGGCCCAGGCCGGGATCATTACACACACCTTGCTTGGTGGGAGGGCTGTCAGAGGCTGGCACTGCTGTTGGAGATGGCTGGCTGCTCCTTCGAGGAGGTCTGGCATCCCGTGGGTCCGTGGCTGGTGGGGTGGGTCCTCTGCTCTTTGCTTCAGAGGAAGGGGACTCTTCCTGCACGGGGGCTGGCCTAGGCCCGACCTGCCCTGAGAGGCTCTCTGGTTCCAGTGGGAGCTGCTTAGAGCTAGTGGCATTCTTCATGGCAGGTGGGGTGTCCGGGGGAGTGTCAGGGACCACGGCTGACATCGGTGGTGGTGGGGGGGAAGGGTCACCTTCTGGAGAAGGTCTTGGCTCTGGGGGGGTCCTGGCGACCACAACTGAAAGACCAACACAAGAGAGGAGAGAGGTCAGATTGCACATCTGTGCCATCAGCTCAATATGTGGCCCTCTCCCTTGTTCAACTGACTTCTTCATTCACGTGTGTTTGAGTTATTTCTATGTGCCAGGCCCTGTTCCAGATACTCATGATATAATAGTGAGAAAATAGCCATGATCCCTGCCTCTGTGGCGCTTACCCTCTAGCAGGGCAGACAGACAAATAGCTAGGCAACTACAGTAGAGAATAAATACTGTGTCTGGGGCAGCACAGCAGAGATGGTTAACCTACATGGGGAGGGCTTGCTCAAGAAGTAACAACCAAGCTGAGATCCGAAGGATAAGCTGGAGTCAGCAAAGCGAGGAGGAGAGATCTTGGCAGAGAAGAGTATATGCGAAGGGGCAGAATGGAGCAGGGTGTGTTGGAAAAGCTAAGAACAAGCTTGCAGCACTTATTGAGACACCAAACGCACCGATTTGTTTCCATGTCTGCCTCCCTCTCCTTTCTGCTTTATCTCTGGGTGACTGTGCCCAACCCAAGGTCTATTCACAGAGGGTGCCAGTGCTGGGCACATGGGACTGACCAAGGGGAAGGACGTAAGTATGGGCTCTAGTGGGATGCTTTGTTGTGAAGATTCCCACTGGCAACAAGCTACCCCAAATTTGTGCTTTTAACATATGACTATTGTAGGAACCCTGTAAAAGACATCGAAGTGAAGGAAGGGAGCCACACGATTTGACATATACACATGTGGGGCCATGGAGAGACAGGCCTGAGAGTCAGTCAGATGAGGATGGGAAGGGAGGGCTTGCTTCCCCAGCAGACAACCATGGACAAGCCAGCCAACCTCTCTCAGCCTCAGGTTTTTTTGTTTTGTTTTGTTTCCCCCCAAGTCCGCTTGCTGCTAGGGAATTAAGGGTCTAGTTAGTTCCTTTAAGTCCCTTTTTCTTAATTTTTATTTATTTTTATTGCTGGAGTGCAGTGGTACGATCTCGGCTCACTGCAAGCTCCGCCTCCCAGGTTCACGCCATTCTCCTGCCTCAGCCTCCCCAGTAACTGGGACTACAGGCTCCCGCCACCACACCCGGCTAATTTTTTGTATTTTTAGTAGAGACGGGGTTTCACCGTGTTAGCCAGGATGGTCTCGATCTCCTGACCTCGT